GGGGGGGGGGGGAGCCACCTACAGTGATCCTATTGAGAGAGAGGGTGGCCTCAGCCCTCGGCCGCGGCCCTGAAGCCCCAGGAGGGTGGGCGAGGGACAGACAGCAGTTCCCAAGTGCCCCAGCCATGCCCTCCTCTCCCGTAGCCTGTTCGACATGGGTGGTGAATATTACTGCTTTGCCTCCGACATCACCTGCTCCTTTCCTGCCAACGGCAAGTTCACCGCAGATCAGAAGGCCATCTACGAGGCAGTGCTGCGGAGCTGCCGTGCCGTCATGAGCGCCATGAAGCCAGGTGAGGGTGGGGGCAGCCGGGGCCTGCCAGGGAGGCATACCTGGTGTGGGTGCAGGGGACCGCCATGTGGCCAGTGCCCACAGGAAACAGTCGGGCGTCAGTGACTTAAATCTAGCCGCCTCTGTGCTTAGCAAGATTCCAAATGGCATCGGGTCCCCAGGGTCACTCCTGGGAACTGGGGTTGACCACCATGTAAGGACAGAGCCAGGAACCAGGAGCTCAGCCCAAGGTTGCCCTGTGTCCTGACTGGCCGCCTCCACCTGGGCTTCCCCTGCCCCCACTGGCCACTGGGGCATCAGCCTGTCCCCGGCCCTGCCTGAAGCAGCATCCTCTCCTGGGAGGGCCAGGCCCGCTCTGGACACTGGCGTCTGGCTAGATGGTGGCACAGGTTCAGGCCCCCTCGGCACTCTGTGACCTTGGACAGAAAGCTCTTCCTGGCCTGCAAATGGGAGGCAACAGCTGGTGAAGACCGCGTTAAGCCGTGTAAAGTACCTGCAGTGCCTCCGGGCACGTGTAGTGTCGGCCGGGGTCATGGTCACCACCGCGATGGTCATGTCGAGTCTAGGCCTGGGCCTGGTGTTCCTCCCAGCAGCCAGCCTCGGCCAGCGTATCCTCCCTCAGCCCACCCCCAGGCATCCCACACAGCTCCCTGCCATGTGCCCCTTGGTGTCTTACCACATACAGTCCAGACCCAGCGGGGCGAGCAGGGGCGGTCCCTGCCTTCTCTGGGGGAAACCAACACTCCCCCAACCCAGCCAGCTTTCTGGCATTCCCTCTGGGGTCCTCCCGCTGTCCCCATTCCACTCAGCCGTGCTACTCGCCAGCGAGGCAGGATCACGCCCCAGCTCTGGTGCTTGACGCCGCCCTGCACCAAGAAACCCTTTCCCAGCAGCGGTGGGGGTGGGAGGGGCCCCTGACTTGCCACTGGGGCCTGGAGGGGAGCATTTAGGGATATGGGCTTTGGGACAGCCCACCCTGCCGCCCTTGGGTTCCCCCGACGCCTGGGCAGGTCCTGGGGCTACCTGCCAGTCACCCCCCAGGCCTGGCCCTCTGTGGACATGGGGCCCCTGGGACCATGACTAAGATCTGTTTGGGGGCTTCCAGGCTCCCACCCAGGGCTGGATGGGCTTCTGCTCCACCACCCGGTGACTCGTCCACTCCACCTGGGTACCGCTGTCCCGCCAAGGCACCAGGGTTGGGGTTAGGGTTAGGTCTCCATCCAGTTGGGTTATTTGGTGCTGTCACAGATTCAGAGATGTGGACACGCAGGTTAGAGATAGGGCCAGAGCCAAGACAGCACTGGGCGGGCAGGAGTGAACTGACCCAGAGATCCAAAGTCCCCAGCCACCTTCCGCAGCCCGCAGTCCATGAGGGTTAAGGTCAGAGAGCACCTAGTGCTGGCCAGACTGGGGTCTAGCCCAACCTCAGACCCTGGCTCCTCCCACCCTCCCTCACCACCTCCCACCCCGCTCCAGAGAGGCCCCCTCCAGGCCTTCCTGTGCAGGGCGACTCAGGTGTCCTCCACAGCCATGTGAGCTCACTGCGGGCAGAGGAGACCACACAGCAGAGCAGGGTTTCAGAGGCCAGAATGCAGGCCCCAGACCCAGAAAGATCCCAGTCCACCCCAGCTGACTTACTCAGGCCCTCAAGCAGGGGGATAGACCCCTGGTCTGTCCCAAAGCAGAGTCCACTCCAGGGCAGGTTTAGACAGCTCTGGACCCTAGCACCTGATTAGACTTCAGAGTACCCTTTGTGAAGGCTGGCTGCTGTCGATGGTCTCTTCAGCGTTCAGGGAAAGGATACAGAAAGATCCTGGCCAGGTGCAGTGCCTCACGCCTGTAATCCCAGCACTTGGGGAGGTGGAGGTGAGAGGATTGTCTGAGCCCAGGGGTTCAAGACCAGCCCGGACAACTTGTCGAGACCGCGTCTCTACAATAAATGAAAAAATTAGTTGGGTGTGACAGGCTACTTAGAGGACTGAGGTGGAAGGGTCACCTGAACCTAGCAGGTTGAGGCTGCGGTGGCTGTGAGTGTGCCCCACAGCCCGTGCCCTCCCATGTCCAACAGGGACAGAGCTTGACAGACAAGGGAGTCCAAGCACCGGCAATTCAGATATGCCCCAAAGGAAGACAAGAAGGAGAGTTGGGCAGTAATAAACTCCCGGTGGGTGAACATTGACTGGACTTGCCGAGTTTAGCCAGCTTCAGAAGAAAATAGCGTCCTGTGCTGAGCTGTTTGCTTAAAGAGCAGCCGTGTTCTCTAGATGTTCATATAGGGACGCCTCCAGGACAGATCTCAGTGTGAGGACAGGAGAGTGCCGGAGGGTGTGGCCAGCATGGCTCTTTCCTGTAAAGGGGGGTTGGGAACATGGATGGCTGCATACTCGTGAACTCCTGAAGGAGACGCGAGGAGAGATGGGGGAGAGCTTGCCATGGCTGTTTTTATTCTTTTGACCCTTAAGCTATGGGACGTGTCGCCTGTTTAGCTGTTAAGTTCAGCATCTGTGCGATGGTCACCTGCAGGATTTCTTGCTCAGTGTTGAACACCGTCGTGTACTCGAATGATCAGCATTTCAGAACCAGCAGAAGGTTCTGGCTGATGAATGTGGGTTTTGGTGCATTCTAGTATCTGTAAGCACAGCCCCTCCGCCTAGGAGTGGGGGCACACCCTCCACTAAGGACCCTCCACCAGGCACACCCTCTGAGGTGGGCCAAGGTCTCTCCCAGACCCCCACGTGCGGGGCCGGCTTCACCCCACTCCCTGCCGTGTGCCACATGCAGCCAAGGTGGGCTATGTCACTGCATAGGTTGAGCCGACTGTCACTGTCACATTAAGTGATATCCTTGCATCCACAAGCAGTTGTGAACTACCGATGTCCAGGAAGTCAAGGCCTCAGGCCTGGAGGGGTGGCTGCAGCGACCTGGCCTCGCCCCGCTGAGCTGGTCTCTGCAGATCCTGTGAGGCGGGTTCTCCCCTATCCTACTCCTGCCCACGCTAGGCTTTTCTGCCCAGTGTGGACCTGGCACTGAGGTCTTGCAGACCGCTCACGTGAGGGGATGGAGCAGACACACGCTGCCAGCCACACTGCTAGATGCTGCAGTACTGGTGGTGCCCTGGGGCAGAGCTGGACTTCATGTGGGTCATGCAGTGTGGGCCCGGGGGCGGGCCACTGCCCACAGAGCGGCCCTCCAGATGGGAGGTCACCTCCCCGTGGCATTGAGGAGGCCGTGGCCGGGTCAGCCCCTTGCCCTGTCCCGGTGGGAATGCCCCCGGTTTGTGGGCTCGGCTCCTGGGCCAAGACAAACACCCCACTGAGACTGCCCGGCTGCTTCCCGTGACCTTCCAGGGACGAGTAAACAGAGGCGAGCAGGAAATCACACAACGATGCCCAGAGGAGAGGCAGAAACTATCGATGAGAATACACAGGTCCCTGCGGATCCAACCCTGGAGGGGCTGCGGAATGCAGGCCTCCGCCGCCTGTCCCAGGGCCAGAGAGGGAGCGCTCCTCACGGTCGCCCGGAGACAGCAAGGAAGGAGGGCTGCTGCTCAGACCCGGGGACGCTGGCCGTCGGGGCTCCACACGGGAGCCGGTGGACCGGCCAGGCGGCTGCGGCTCCTGGGAATGCCGCACATGGGAGCCCGGGGCGGGGCCCGAGTTCCTC